TTACAACCCGTGAGTCGGTTACTCCATGTAACCACTCTACCTTGGTTCAGTTTCATACTGAATGACGCGGTTGTAATTACTTACAACCCGTGAGTCGGTTACTCCATGTAACCACTCTACCTTGGTTCAGTTTCATACTGAATGACGCGGTTGTAATTATTTACAACCCGTGAGTCGGTTACTCCATGTAACCACTCTACCTTGGTTCAGTTTCATACTGAATGACGCGGTTGTAATTACTTACAACCCGTGAGTCGGTTACTCCATGTAACCACTCTAATTGCACACGATCTCAGTTCAATACTGAAAGACGCGGTCGTAATTATTTACGACCCGTGAGTTGGTTACTCCATGTAACCACTCTACTTATTCATTGTCTCAGTTCGATACTGAGGGACGCGGTCATAGTCACTTATGACCCGTGAGTGGTTACTTCATGTAATCACTCTGATTTTCATTACGACGGCTCGATGCCGATTAATGCGATCGTACACACGATCCGTAGAGCAATTGCCCCACGTGCAATTGCTCTTAAAACACAATATACACACATTCATACAGTTGACCATTTGCACTTTCATCGATTCTTTTGTCAATATACAATACATTCAAGGGGTTTTTTATGCCACATGGTTTTGTCCCCTAATCATTTTTGTCGAGCCAATAAATATCTTTAAATTGTCTGGCTCAAATCTGAGTTTTATTTAACTCCTAAAACGTCCTCATTCTCATAAACTTTGAACTACGGAATTTTTCCATGTTGGAAAGGTTTCGACGATACAAAGTATGAGCAAGGTTAAAATCGTCAATGTCAAAATGAATTCTGTGCTCTGAACAGTAGCATTATTCACACCGTTTCGTCGCGTTTAATCTTTGCATTGCATTTTTTTCTCGAACCGTTTTTGCAATTTAGTTTTCAATGGCACGCGATAAGTATTCAGTAAATGACGTGATTCGCTCGATTAGCCATTCTAGTTCCATTGCGATCTCTTACATACATTCAAACTGGCGTATTCAGAGTTCGCTTGCACTCGGCAGGTTCGTTCACCCTCGCCCTTGGCCAGTAGAAAACAGTGTACGACATTATTATACTGTAACTGATTTATTTCAACGAATCGATAATAGGTTGGTTGTTACAGGTGATAATTGGTCGACCGAACGTGTCGAAGGTACAGATAGTAAAACGGATTCATAGTCTAAACGCTTAACAGTAGACGAGTGCAATCGAAGAGAAACGTTTTACATAATCGAGACGATCGGCGATGTAATCGATGATCTAACTACTCAGATGAAAGTTTTTAGATCTGATAATGGCACAATATTAATTCCACGATTTTTATCATATACATTCGAGAGACACCGGTGTCGTGTCACCATTTCATTCCAACGTTCGCACCAATAGAGGGTTGCCAGTCGCCAAAAGGACTTTTCTGGGCACCAGTAATTACACCAGCGTATCCATTTCCATTGTTGAACTCTCTCCCGAACCCGGCGCCAACGCTTTGCGATTTACCCCATGGATCGCGTCTCTCAGAAGCACTCAAATCCGTTCTCCACCCGTTCTCAGTTTTGTAGGATCCTATCGACAAACGTGGTTCAAATAAAAACTGTCCAATTTTACTTGGACCACGGACTTGGTACGATCCCTGAGAAAATGGCATGTGCGGAAAGTATGAAAGACTACGTACAGGCGAAAGTGCTTGACTGATCGTAGAATAAATCTAAATACCATTCTTGAAACATTGCCCAGAAATCTCTGATCGACTATTGATAATAAAAATTAGTCACGTATACGTACCGTCGACACCGTAAGAAGGCGAGAAGCTGCCGAGGGGATTTTTATCGTAACGTGCGAATCCACCGACGTGTCCACTGTCGAAATCTTTTCTGAGGGTGGCACCGAATTCTGGACTCGGAGTTTTCCCCGAGGTGACCCTCGCGCCACCAAAGACGTCCCCCGTCAGTCCGTCTCTTTCGATGACGCGCTGATTCCAGCCGATGCTCGCCGATGGATTGTCCTTCGATCCGGCCAGATCTTTTGCTATTAAACCAGTGCTGTCCTCTCGCCGGAAACGAGGCTTCTCTTCTTCTCCCAGGTACATCGATTCGTCCACGTCACGCCTGAACCTCCAGCTACCTTGGAGCCCAGCGCTGGGGGAGATTCTGCCACCAGGACCGCGTTGACCTTGAACGAATCCACCGAGTTGTCCGTTCCTGTAGTCTTTCCCGAAATTAACGCCCAAATGCGGGCTCGCGGCCTGTCCTGGACGAACGTTGACTCCGCCATAAGCGTTTGCATTGGCTCCGTTTCTGTCGTAGACTCGTTGATTGTAATTTAAGTCCAAGGATGGTCGCCTGTCTGGACCACTCAAAGGTTTCTGTGCGTCCAAAGTGATGGATCCTTGAGGATCGGCCTCTCGCCGGAAGCGATACCAATCCTGTGACAAAGAGGTCCATCGGTCAATTGAAATACTACAATATCGTGGATTAGCTCCAGGCAAGTTCTTGGACCAAATGTTACGCGGATAAGTTTTTAGTAAAGAATTTTATAAGATGATAACGCTAGCAAACACAATTCTGTACACGCACCGATGAGACAAAAAATGAAGTGCCACTACTGATTACTACTGATGTTATACGTGTCATAACTTGTCGTTTACTGATTTTAAGTGATTTTATTAAAGCATACGTACAGTGCATTCGTTAACTTGAACATTGACACGTTCAAGTGTATTTCTGTCGCGATAAAATGACTGATGAACAATTTTATATACGACTCGTCCTGTACGTACGTATGAATCTTTCGAGAAGAAGATACTCACGGAAGATTGATCTGCATCTGACAATTCTTGAGCGTATGCGACTGCACAGAGAAGGACTATCACGATCCACTTCATTTTCGGCGATATTCCTGTCGGATTGTCCCGTCTTCTTTAGTGATGCTGCTTGATCTCTGCTGCATTCGATAGAAACCAGCTCTTATATACGATTCTTCCAGCTGAGAGAAGGGCGTTGGGCGTTATCGGTATAGAGACATTCGGAACCGGGTATCACCCGTCTGTAAGTTATCAGGGTTGAGATATTTTTACCCACGGCCGGAAAGTGGGGACGACGCGACCATGGTGGGGACCAATAGTTGGTCGGGGTATGCAGTGATTTTCACGGTATTGTGACGTCCGCTTTGAAACATTAACATTTATAAAATAACAAACGGATATCGATCAGGCTACACATAACAACTGTTATTCACGTAGATATTTTTATGTCATTTATATATCTAAAGATGTCTCATCCGTAAACATGTACCTAAGCTGCTTCATCCCTTATCTAATCCAATAGCCAGTCACCAAAGTCACCATTACTCATTCTGAACCTTGTCATCTTCCGAACTTTTCCCACTACTTCTTCTATCGTTCAGGCTATTATGCGTTAGCAGCACAGGTACTAATTGTAGGAAACAGTAGGGATCGTACAGAACGTGA